CTTAGGGTCTGAACCACCCATCCCTGCTGTTCAGCTTGTGGGCAAGAGGCCCCACGTCTTGCACTCTGGAAGGTGCTGGAGTCATGCATTGAAACACTTTCTCTCACAGCTGAAGGATGAAGCCTTTGAAGAGATGGAGAAAAATTTCCGGATGCAGGAGCGGCTGATCAAGTCCTTCATCCGGGACCTTTCCCTCTACCTACAGCATGTCCGGGTGAGTCAGTCTGGGTGTGATGCCAAACCTGTGGGGCTTGCCAGTCACTGCCCCTCCTGTCTGCATGGTGTGTACCTGCAGTGCCTCTGGCGAGTGCTTTTGGCCTCAGCCCTGCTGGGCGGGTGGTCTCTGAGAGTCTGGCTTGCCCTGGGAGGCCTCTACTGGGCAGCAAGCGTAGTTGAGCTGACTCTGTCTCCCTGGTGCAGGAGTCTGCTTGTATGAAGGCACTGGCAGCAGGGAGCATGTGGGACTTGTGCACAGAGAAGGCGAGTGGGGACTTGGACCAGTTCCAGAAAGTGAATCGTCTCATCAGTGACCAGCTCTTCTCCAACTTTGTGAGTGAGGCTGTGCTCTCATGTGCTGGAGGTATCCCTCAGGATCCCTCCCTGGGGGTTTGCTGCAGAAGGGCAGCCTCTGAGAGGCTGCAGGGAGGGTAACTTGGGAGAGGTGTGAGCACTACTGCTTAGTTCTGAGAGCTTTGATGCCTGGGAATTTATGGATATGCCTGTTAGATAAACATTTGGTAAGCTCTACCTGAAATGCTACAGCTGTTTATGTGAGTGTTTTGGGTACTTTCCATAGTGTTACCTATGCTGGCACAGTTATGTAAGATTATAAAATAATTCCTCTTGGAAGGGACCTCTGGAGGTTTTGTGGGTGCCACTAGGAGGACAGTCTCTATACTGTCCTAGGGAGGATATTTTCCTGCATGCTAGAAAATGAGCTGCTAGTGTTCACTGCACAGTGGGAGAGAGCAGCTTGTCTCACCTTCTCTCTGCATCTCTGCCCACCAGAAAGAGCGGACAGAGCGGCTGGTGAGCTCACCCCTGAACCAGCTGCTGAGCATGTTTGCGGGGCCCCACAAGCTGGTGCAGAAACGGTTTGACAAGCTCCTCGACTTCCACAACTACACGGAGAGAGCAGAAAAGTTGAAGGACAAGCGAACCTTGGAGGAGCTGCAGTCAGCCCGCAACAACTATGAGGCCCTCAATGCCCAGCTGCTGGATGAGCTGCCCAAGTTCCTGCGCTTCGCCAAGGAGCTGTTTGCCAGCTGTGTGCGGGGCTACGCCGAGGCACACTGTGACTTCGTGCGCCTGGCCCTGGAGGAGCTGAGACCCCTGCTGTCGGTGAGTTACTGGAGTGCAGACAGTGCTCTGGGCTTAGTGCAACACTAAACTCTGTGCAGAGCTTGCCACTGTTTAAGACCACAAGTGACTTGTGGAGGACTCCTGTGGGATGCTGTCAGGACAGGGATTGTGGGGTCATGATGCGTAGATATGATGAAGGTTCTGGCTACTCTTAGACCAGTGGCAGAAGAGGATTTGCCTAGGAGAATCGCAGGTCATGAGTTTGAGGACCACTCAGAGCTGAATCCAGGCAGGACTGCAAATCTGGGTCCCGTGCAAGTCACAGGCAGGATGCAGAACCCTTGTCATGGTCTTTGCTGTAGCTCTTGGCCTCTTTTCCCAGCAGCTGTCACCTAACAGGATATTCAACTCTGCTCTGGTTCCAGTTGCTAAAGGTGTCTGGCAGGGAGGGGAACCTCATTGCCATCTTCCAGGATGAGCACAGTCGAGTCCTCCAGCAGCTCCAGGCCTTCACCTTCTACCCAGAGTCCCAGGCAGCTCCCAAGAAGACTTTTGAAAGGAAGAGCATGGAGCGGCAGTCTGCCCGGCGGCAGCCCCTTGTCGGCTTGGTGAGTTCCCCCTGCCCGATGTCAGGGCTTGCAGAGCCCGGGACAGCCACTCACACCTGCCTTGTTCTTCTGCAGCCCACCCACCTCCTGCAGTCAGATGATGTCCGAGCTGCCCTCCTGGCCCGCTATCCCCCAGAGAGTCTCTTCCAGGCAGAGCGCAATTTCAATGCTGCCCAGGACCTGGATGTCTCACTGCTGGAAGGAGACATTGTGGGTGTCATCAAGAAGAAGGACCCCATGGGCAGCCAGAATCGCTGGCTGATAGACAATGGGGGTAGGTGGCTGCTCCCTGCCCTTGCCTGTGGGGAGTCCCTTCCCCTGGTTGTCCTGTGTCCCAGTCTGAGCTCTCTTTCTTTGCCTCTCTGCAGTGACGAAAGGCTTTGTGTACAGCTCCTTTCTGAAGCCCTACAACCCACGCCGCAGTCAGTCAGACGTCTCTGTGGGCAGCCACTCTTCCAACGAGTCGGAGCACAGCAACTCCTCTCCCCACAGCAATGCCACGCTGACCTTCAGCCCCAGCGGGGCAGCCGTCACCTTCACTCAGAAACCCCTGCAGGACTCTGCCTCCCCAGCAGACACATACCAGCCTGGGCAGTCCCCACTGGAGAGGGACTCCCCCTCTCTGCCCCAGCTTGGCTGTGGTGACAGGACAGCCCCACTGGAGGCTGGAACAGTGGTGTCTCAGTGCCGCTACAGCCGCCCCGAGCTGGGCTGCAGCCCCAGCTCTCGCAATGGGCACCCCACCAAAGCACACCTCAGGCCCACGCCCTCAGTGGAGGACAGAGACTCTGGATTGGAGAGCAGCGAGTCAGAGGGCAACCAGGTGAGTTGTCAGCCACTCTGGGGAGACTGGGCATCCCAAGGGCTGATCCCCTTGCTTAACTGCAGATTGAGTCATCCTCCTCCCTGGGAGTGACCAGGGAGAGGTGAGAGGTGAAGTATGAGATCTTTTCTCCCAGCAACAGAGGTGCAGAGACAGAGACCCAGGCTGCACATGGGGGTGGGCAGGTGGAGGCCTGGCCAGGATGGGGCTGGGGCTGGGGCTGGCGCTGTTTGGTGAGGACAAAAGCCCACAAGTCCTATGCAGTGCAACAGCAAGGCTGTGGTGTGACCATCCAAGTGATATTCTCCCTCTGTCTGGCAGGTCTATTACGCTCTCTACACCTTCAAAGGCCGAAACACTAATGAGCTGAGTGTATCAGCTAACCAGAGACTCAAGATCCTGCAGTTTGAGGACATCACAGGCAATCAGGAGTGGTGGCTGGCCGAGGCACACGGGAAGCAGGGCTATGTGCCCTCGAGTTACATCCGGAAGACAGAGTACACATGAGACGGCAGGCAGGAGCCTGCACCCCATGCCTTGTTCCTGCCAGGACTGCTGGGAGTCTTGGGGAGGCTGGCCAGCCCTGCATCCCCCACTACTTGCCACAGGACTGTCTGCCTCACAGCCGTGTAGTGCTATTGGGCCCCAACACACTGACTGCCACCTCCCCTTCAAGGGAGGAAGAATAGTGAGTTGGCCAGGTAGGCAGGACAGGCAGCTTGTGTGAGGGCAGGGGTGAGTTCAGCTGTGCTGTTTGAGCCTCCTGTGTCCAGCTGGGGGCAGGGGAGCAAGGCTTGGGGCTGTGGCCTGCCCAGGAGGGTAAGGCTCGACTAAAGCTGAGGAGCTGCTGTGGGTTTAAATTGTGGAAGGCTAATGCCAAGTTTCTTGAGACTGCGCTTAGTGAAGTAGTATTAAAAGCAGCCCAGACCTTGCCAACGTGCTCTCTGTGCCTTCTCAGGATCACCAGCAGGAGCTGGGTCTTGCCTGTCTGTGCAGGACCCATGGTGGGACATCTACACACTGCCTGGGGAAGCAGCTCTGAGGTTTGCTGTGAGTAGCTGAGCTCCAAGGGTGGGATGGGCCTGGCCTCTGAAATTCCTGCAACAAAGCCCCCAGCAGGTGCCTTGTCCCTGTGCTTGGCCTCCCGGGGGCTCGGCCTCTCCAAGCTCTGCTGCTACCAGCAGCCATCTCATCTCAGGTGAACCAGAAGTCCGGAACACCATCTTCCCTTGTCAGTGCAGGATCTCCCATGCCCAGGACCCATCTTTGCACTGACAAGCCAACCTGGCAGCTCTGGGCTGGGGCAGGGCAGAAGGCAAAGCACAAATTGTCCTCCACTTTGATTTTTTGGGGGCTCTGATCAGAATTGCCTCACCTGTGTCTTCTTTCAGGGCACTGGAGACAGTGCTGACATTCTGGAAGGGCAGGACCATCCCTGGGAGGGATGTGTTGCCTTTGCTGGGTTGGTGTGTGATACCTGCTGCTGCCATGCCCAGAAGGGAGGAAGCTCCCTTCATGGAGTAGTGTTCGTATCCCCTGTACTGCTGCTCTGTAAATAAAGATTTGCCCTTGTGTATAGAAGGTGCCTGTGCAAATGTTGGGAGAGCTGAGAGGAGAGCCGGGCCTGTGCTGCAGTGGGGCCAAAGCCCACAGACTTCATGCAGACCCCGCAGGGCCAGGAAATTTCCCTTTCAGTGGGGTCCAGCATGCTTCTGCCATGGTGTTTGTGCCAGCTCCAGCTCAGGCACTGGCAAACCCCCACAGGAACGTTCTTCATTAAGATTAAGTGATTGCACTGCCCTCTTCCCCTACAGGGTAGCACTGAGGTCAGCACTACAGCTCCTGGCTTTGGTGTCCAGGAACAAAGAGTTTGTCAAGAGTAACCACCATAGTTGGTGTGTGCATGGCTGTAGCACGGACACGTGCTTGCACCTCTTCAGTTTATCTCCACCACAGTCATGTTTGCAGTCTGTACCCAGAGCCCAAAATCCGGTTACGAATAGCCTCAGGGAGGGGCTTGTTACTTATTTGCACTACAATTGAAGGGATCATAGCCACAGGGAAGGCTGGCAGACCCTGGTTTTGCCACATAGTGTTTATGCCTGGGTATAGCTGCGCCTCTCAGTTTGGACTGCCTGCCCCTCTGTGTAACCTCTGTTGGCAGCTTCCTCGAAGCACACTAGCCAGGTTTAAGGTTAAACCATGGCTTTTTTGATGTCAGCCTTTAAGTTGAAACAGTTAAAAAAGTAAATAAATTATAGCATCCATTCTTAGATTAAACAGCAATTTAATTTCATAGTGCTAAAGCATCTAAGGTAGGTTCACTGCGCATGGTAAAGTACAAAAAGTAAGACCACCCCAAACAGGGGTCATGATCTCCCTGCATCGCAGATAGCTTTTCCCCTCTGTAGAATAAGTTAGGCAGCTCCAGACCCTTGTGTGCACAGCAGGCAGGGCATGGTAGCAATGTTCTGTCTCTGGACAACCAGAGAAGCCACCCTCTCTGCTTCCCAGCTGCAGAAAGGCAAATTCCTGGGCAGCTTGGCTGCGGGGAGACGCTGACGCCAGCTCAGTGAGCGCCAGCAGGAGGGAGCTGCCCGCACACGCCCGGACACTGCAGCGCTCCCCCTACAGGGCTGTACTTTCAGTATTGGTGATGCCAGCGTCCTTTGCCATCGCGGAGAAGATGCCCTGCTTCTGGAGCAGCTCCTCAGGGCTGTCAAATTCCACAATCTGCCCAGCTTGCAGCACCATCACCCTGGCAGAGGGGAACAAGAAGGCCTGAGCTCCCAGGATCCAAGTTGACAGCACTGATGGCACCAGTGGTGCACCCCCACTGACCCTCACTGCTGCAGCCACATTATGTGGTTCACCTCTCAGCAGTGGTGAGGGCACAGCCCTCCTCCCTGTGCTGACAGGGTGACTCATGTAAGGTGTCAACAGTGAGTGCCTCTATGGTCTGTTGCTGTAAAGAACGATCCCAAAAAATGTTTCTCCCACAAACGCCTAAGTACTGCATGGCCAACCTTCCTATTCTCCTCTTCTAGAACCACTGTATATTACTGCCCCAGGCACTACATCCACCCCTGCCCCTCTGGCTATATCCTTGCTTCTGCTGCTGGCCACCTCCTGCCCCATCGTAGGAGTCCAGATTCCAATTCCTCTTGCCCCATGGTACTGTCCCATGGTACCTGTTGCTGTCCATGATGGTATGGAGGCGGTGGGCGATAGTAAGGACAGTGCAGTCAGCAAACTCGCTCCGGATTGTTGTCTGGATTAAATGGTCAGTTTCCAGATCTACGGCTGCTGTTGCTTCATCCAGGATGAGGATCTTGGCTTTGCGGAGAAGGGCCCGGGCCAGGCACACCAGCTGCCTCTGCCCAACACTGGGATGAGATGGAGAACATGAGCTACTAGACAGACACTATCAGAGCTTCTGCAAGCCTAGTGGCACACACTGCCCTGACCCAACACCATGCCTGGCATTCCCCCTGCATCTGCCACCCTGAGCACCACATCTCTCAGCATTTTTCTCTCTGGGCCCTCATAGAAGGGTTAGTTCACTCTGGCTTCCTAAAAGCTCTGGCTCCTGGACCCTTTTCTGCCACCTTCTTTTCCCAGAAGCTTCTGTGCCCTCATTTCTGGACAGCCACTCTGCTGGCAGCTGCTGTTCCAGGCGGGTCCCTGGGAACAAGAGAAGGGAGGGGAGCTGGACCTGCTCACCTCAGGTTCTCCCCTCCCTCGCTCAGGGTATGCAGCAGTCCCTCGGGATGGCCTTGCACATATGTCTTCAGATGAGCCAGCTCAAGGGCCTTCCAGACCTCCTCGTCTGAGTACTGGTCAAAGGGGTCCAGGTTCATCCGCAGGGTTCCAGTAAAGAGCACAGGGTCCTGCCAGGGACAGCACTGTGTTCAGCCACACCACAGCCATTCAGCAGGGGCAATGGGTCCAGGTCCCCAAATCCTTCCCATGCCACTGCCTGCAGCTGGGCAGGGGAGGTGGTGACAGCATGCTCACAAGCCTTTATAGTCTCCACAGCACCCAGGGATGCGCTGAGGGCAATACATAGCCCAGGAAACAGCCTGCAGGAGCCACGCAGCAGCGGGATGTGGAAAGGTGGGGATCAGCTCACCTGGGGGATGATGGTGAGGTTCTTGCGCAAGTCATGGAGGCCAATTGTTGCTATGTCCACCTCATCGATGATGATCTTCCCTCCAGCAGCCTCCAGCACTCGGAAGAGGCAGTTGGTGAGGGAGGATTTTCCAGCCCCGGTCCGGCCCACAACCCCAACCTGTGGAAGCAGCTTTTTAAACCAGCTGACAGAGCTGAAGAAAAGAGGGCAGATGCTTTCCATCTTGGTCTAGTGGGACTTCCCACCCTCACCATCTCCCAGACTGTCCCTTTCCTGCATCTTGAGTCCCCAGGAGCCACATCCCATCACAATCCCTCCCCAGCGCACAGACTCAAGCCAAGAGGAACAACACAAGCTTTAACACAGTGTGACTCTGTAAAGAGTGTAATGAGGGCAAAGGCACCTTCTCAGTGCTCCCAATATTGCAGGTGATCCCCTGAAGAACCAGGTCCAGTTCAGGTCTGTAACGAACTTTGTAGTCAATGAACTGGATCTCGCCTTTGCTGGGCCAGCCATGTGGTGGTCGCTTTCCTGTCACCCATGGAGCCTGGGGGAGGGCACAGGAGCATTAGGTGGGGACTTGCATTCTGAGAGGCTGTTGAGCACGACGTTGTACAGCAGGTGCTTTCCTGGACCCTGGTTTCCTCACCTCATTCTTCACCTTTGTGTACTCGTGTACCCGCTCCACAGCCACGATGTTTGTCTCCAACTCCGAAGATGTCCTCACCAGCCAGTTCAGTGTCTGGGTCACCTGCATGGCAGAATCAGAAGATGCAGAGCTCAGTGGGACCCAGGAACAACCACCTCCCACCTCAGCTCAGGGATTCAGCCTGGACACGAGTGTCCCTGGTCTGGGATCTCCAGTCCTCAGCCACAGCCCACCATCTCTAGCTCTTCAAAAACTTTGCTGCAGCATCTCTGACCCACAGCAGGACTGTACTCCTCCCCATGGAAGCCTGTATCCACTCACACTGGGATGTATGCTTCCTTGGCTCCATAGCTGCTACCCAGGTGATGTGACACCCCAGATAATCCCTTTTTCATGAATCAGAGCTGCAGGCAGGGCAGCATCCTGCAGCCAGCCCAGAGCTCCCAGGAACAGCCCTGTCCTGGGATGAAATGTTTTCATTGACTCACACTGAGAGCAGAGGAGACAGAAAGACCCACGATGCCGCCCTCCAAAGTGCCCTTTGAAATCACTGCTAGAAGTGCAGAGAAGAAGACCACCAGGCTCCCAACGAACTCCAGACGGATGGCCAGCCACCTGTTCCAGGAGAGAACAGCTGAAGGGCAGTGGGAGAGGCAGAGATGTATCTGCCTGTGCCCAACAGAGCCCACCAGTAAGAGCAGAACCCTACCAGCATCCCTCACATCCAGCCCAGTGCTGTTCACATGGTACACGTTGCAGGTCATTTGTGGCCTGCAAGCAGGTTCATTTTATGCCAGTCCATGTCTCACACATAACCTCCTCTGGAGAAGCCCCAACTGTACAACCCTCACACACCCAAAGGTGTGACCCAAAGCATCAACAGTAAGACATCAACACCGAAGAGTGCCCACATCACGCTCCCGCCTGGCCTGGAACATCAGCCTCTTCCCAGAAGCTACCAAGAGCATCTCAGTCCTTGACTGCACAGCTCACCCTGCCCAGGCTCTGGACACTCTGTAGGGTCCACATTCTGGCTTTCAAAATCACCCTAACATGTCTCATTCCCTGAGATGGCACCTCTATCCTAAACTTCCCCAGTTCCTACACAGACCCTCAATGCTGAGATCAAGAGGGAGAACTGCAGCATCTCAGGGACCTCTCTCAGGACCCAGAAGCCCCTGGAGAGAGGTGCTGCAGGCTGTTCTGTGACATAAGGGGTAAAACTCACCTATTTGAGATTATCCAGGAATAAACACTTTTCTGATTGATGTCCATGATGGCCTCATTATGCTGCAGGAAGCGTTCTTGGTGTCCATAGGCCCGGATCACAGAAAGGCCTGACACTGTCTCACCAAAGTGGGAGTAGATGGGAGACCTGGTGACAGAGTCCAGACGCCTTAGCTGACGTGACGTGGAGACATAGAAGCGCTGAAATGAGGAACACAGCTTGGTTACCAACACAAAGACCAGCAGCCACAAATATACTGCTCTCAGGAGGGAAGAAGCTTCACTCAAGCCACAGTTACTCACCAGCACAAAATAGTAGAAGATGCTCAAGGGAATGATAATGAGAGCGAAGTATGGAGTGGCCAGGCAGATCATGACCAATGTGCTAATGATGCCCATGAAACAGGAGAGCCAGCTGCGGAATGACATGGGAATGGTCTCGTCTACCGTGAAGATGTCCTGGAGCATATGAAAAAGCATAGAGAAGCAGTCAGTGACCACAGAGAGAGGGAGAAGCCCAAAGACCCCACACATACAGGGTTCCTACTCATTCGTATGGCAACACAGTGCCAGACACTTGTAAAAATATTGGATGACCCTGGATTGGTGTTATGGTTACAACCTCATTTAGGGCTACAGCTCTTAGCTAGGGAACAGCTGATATAACAGAAAAACTTCGTATAATATTCCCCTGTTGCACAGACCAGCTTTAGGAACTGCATCTTCATCTGGACCCAGGATGCAGGAGCAGGAATTGAGACAGAAGGAGGGACAGGACTAACTGCAGGTCCATGCAGACAGGAGCACACAGGTCTCCAATTGGCCCTCACCCATCTCCTAGCCAGGCATCACATACTTTCTCATTTCAGAGTAAACCCAGCAGGCCTGAGGCTTGATTTCAAGAGAAATTTTATTCCCAAAAATCAAGACATGGCACCAAAGGAAGAAGTAGAGCAGCAGCACATTTGAAATTACCTGTCTGTATTTTCCTCCTTTTCATCTTCGCTTTGTTTTGTGAGCTTCACTTACATAGAAAAGACTATATTTTTCTGAAACTCCATAACCAGAAGGACATCTCATTGTGGGACATGAGCTCTAGGCTCCTACCTCCCTTGGTGATCTACTATGGACCCTCTTCAGTTTCTCCACATCCTTCTTGACCAGGTGATCCCAAAAGAGGACACAGTATCCAATTGTGACCTCCTTAGCACTGAGCAGAGGAGATAACTTCCTATGATTTGCTGGACACTGTCTTTGAAGTATAGCGCAGGACATGGTTTGCCTCTCAGTCAGGCTTGTATCCACCATGCCCTTCTGGTCCCTTCCTGGCCCTTATCTGGGCTCAGCTGAGCTGTGCTTGACAGCAGTACGGTTATGTCAGTACCCAACGCTCTTCAGACTTGCTGGAGCAAACACCTTCTCCATGCTGGGGCTGTTCTCTTACCTTGGCAAACCTATTCACAATGCGGCCAGTTGGGGTCGTGTCAAAGAAGCTCATGGGCACACGCAGGATGTTGCTGAGCAGCTGCTGATGCATAACCCGTGAGGCTCGCACGGAGCCCCGAGCAGAGAGTATGGTGGCAAAGAGCAGGAAGAGAGCTGCAAGGACAGCACAGAGGGGGTCACACCAGCTCACCAGGCCCTCTTTGGCTTAACAGAGTAACACCACAGCTCCAAGCCAGCAGCTCTGCAGTGAGCCACTGGGATAATCCTGCATCCCACCTTCCTGCGTTGCCCCAGTAACTGCATGCCACCCCAGGGCAGGAAAGCTAACCCTTTTGGAAAGCCTTGGGCCCTAGCACTATGTCCAAACTGATTAAGGACAGTGATCTTCAGCCTAAGGAGGCCACACAGACTTCCTGGGGCAATTTATGCTGGTTTTGGACTGGTATCTGCCCCCAGTTCGGCCAGGAGCTGGAAGGAAGGCAGCAGCAGGCAAATGAAGACAATGCTGGGTCCCCTGCTCCTTGCTGCGCTGCTGGCTGCAGGTCTTGCAAGTCATATATCCCTTCTGGACCACACAGCTGAGGTAAGTGGGGCCCCTGTCCTCCTACACCCACCTTGTGACACCCCGAGTGCCCCAAAGACACCGATCCGCAGGTCTCGCTGCTCCGTGGGATAGGTCTGGTTCAGGTAGCGCTGCGCGTCGTCCGTCCAGGCACTGAGCCACAGGCTGGTCCCCACATAGGCAACGTACTCTCCAACGTAGCCCATGGCGATCCAGAAGGAATAGCACAAGCCCACAGCACGCAGGTACCGCAGGTACATGGAGAACTTTACCTGTGGACCAATTTAGCCCATTACCACTGCCCAGCAAACCTCAGCCAAATAACACCCAGCACAGACTTGGGACTCCCACCTTGCTGCCCAAGTGCTCTCTCCACCACCTTGCCCACCAGTCCCAGGCAGCTCTGTCCCCTTTGTGTCTCTTGGCTGCAGTGGGGCTACACCAGCCCACACCAGCTTCTCTGAGCCACAGTCAGGGTCTGGTAGCACTGAGCCAGGGCAGCACAGTGCTTCATCTTCCATCCTCCTCACCTTGCCGGTTTCCACAGTTTCTTTCTCAATCAGTTTCTGTCCCTTCACCTTCTTTGGGGGCTCCTCCTTGGCCTTCTTCCAGGAACTGGTGCTTTTTTTACTAAGCCTGCAGGGAGGTGATAGGCATCATTAATAGTGGGATGTTGGATTGGTACTAATCTCCTGGGGGTCCATCTCTATGCTGCATTGGATCTCCAGTGCTGGACCCCACTGGAAATTAATGTCCCAGCTGGGCCATCTTTGAATAAGCCTTGTGGAAGCACTAGGCATTTACAGCCATAAAATCATAGCCCTCATCCCCAAAACCAGAACCATCCAGCAGTGTGAGTTCCAGGGAAGACCACAGAAGGTAAGGAGTAAAGCTGTGACACATTAATGTAAGTAATGTGAGTAAACGCCCCTGACCCAGACCAGCTTGTAGGAGCAGGTAGGGAGGCTCTCAACAGGAACTTCCTGGGAAGACCCCAGACCCATGTCTCTGAGAGAGCAGTGCATGGGGCAGGGAAGAGAGCTGAGAACTCAGGGCACATCTCACCTGTGACTCAATTGTCTCCGATGGATGCTGGCCTCTCGCTTCAGGGTCATAGTCACCACATCTTCAGAGCCCTCCTCCACGAAAGGCTCAAGATCATCATCACTCTGTTCTTCACCCCCAGCTAAGCCAACAGCTACAAGAACAGGGATGAGGGAAGGTAGGATCAGGCACAAGAGAGAGCAGATCAGATACACCACACCTCTGCTGCACTCAGCTCCACCCCTTATCCCAGGCTCGGGCTATGTCCTACCACTACTTATCACACCTTCTCCAACCCTGCTGCAAGCCCAGTATAGCAGAAGGAGAAAGAAATCCACTGTGCTGGAGGGAGAAGTTACAGGGGACATAGGGCTAAAGGCCTGCGTGAAGGCAGTCTCTGCTGCTCACTACCACTGGTGTGACCTCAAGCAGAGGTTTGTGCTAGTTTAGCAGGTGCGAGAGGTAGTAGGTCATATCAGTCCAGTTCAGGAACAGGTGAAGATGGGTCCTGTCAGAGTGGTCTGGGAATAGCCAGGCTGCAGCTGGACAACTGTGCTGAGCCCGGGCAGGGTGGGCATCCACCTGACCTGATACCACTCCTCCCCATGGCACTGGGAGACATAATAAAGATTAATGTTATCCAGTGGCATGTTTAGAACAAACCAAAGGATCTTTCTCACCTCAGCATCACTAAAATACAAAGCCTGTTGCCACATAAGATTTTGGGACACATATACATAAATGAACTAAAAAGGGAGTAAAAAAAATCAGACAGATCCTTTGCTGACTGCTCAACATAATGCCTGGATGCAAATCTTAGGCAGGAAGTCCTTGTGCTGCTGATTGCCAGAAGCTGGGAAGGATTCACAGCAGCCACCATTCGTGCCTGGACTGGATAGAGCCAGGTCAGACTGACAAATCAGATCTTCATATCCACAAGATCCATGCACAGCCCCTCTAACTGCCACAGCCCCATTGTGTTCCCAGTACCTGTGGTATTTTTCTCTGAAACATCCTCCTCCTGGTTGCCATACAAGTTCAGGAATTGGGCAAAGGCCCCCTTGTTTGCCAGCAGGTTGCTGTAGGAGCCATGCTCAGTCACTGCTCCTGCTGCCAGCACCACAATGTTGTCGACCTGGGGCAGGAAGCTGATACCGTGCGTCACCAAGATCCGCGTCTGCAACAAAGCGGTTGCAGGGTAGTGGATCATCAGAACACTCGTTGCCTCCCAGCCATGGGCCTGCAGGCTCTCCATCCCCTAGCTGGGGACTTCTCTGCTTATCAGTGCAGACACAGAGCACCCATGAGGTCTCTCCTGCCTGCTGCAGCCCCATGTGAAAGCCACAGGATCCTTCTCTGTCCCAAGCAGACAGCCTCAGTCTTCCCTGGCTCATCAACACTGTGCCAGTGCCATTCCTGCCTGGCTGTGTGGTGGGTAGGGGGGCATGTGTGCTCACCTTGTTTTGCAGCAGCCCTTTTGGCCCCAGCACGTGCTCGAAGAGGTACTTGCCAACGTGAGCATCCACGGCAGACAGCGGGTCGTCCAGCACGTAGATGTCTGCGTTGCTGTACACTGCCCGGGCCAGGCTCACTCGCTGCTTCTGGCCCCCACTCAGGTTGATACCCTGGAAAGGAAGAACTTCTCTGGGCATGGGGCTTGGCACAGGGCTACAGCTCTGTTCTCTGCTGCAGGTGTTATGGAAAATCCATAGCCCCCAGGGCTGTTACCTTCTCTCCAATCTCTGTCTGGTCACCTGCAGGCAGCAGCTTCAGGTCTGGAAGGAGGGCGCAGGCCTTAAGGACCTGCTGATACCGGGCTTCATCCAGTTCTGACCCAAAAAGGATGTTGTCTTTCAGCGTGGCATTCTGGATCCAGGCCTGCTGGGGGACATAGGCCAGGGAACCCTGGAAGGAGAGACACAACAGTTACCTTGTCAGATCATCAGCTTAAGCACTGCCACCTCCTGCAGCCTGTCCTTGCCCTGAGCCACCACTCTGGGACAGTCCTGCCCTGCTGCTTCCCCACTGAGCTCACAGGTAGCCCCAAAGCCCCCTGCATCGGCCGGCTCTTCTCACCTGGATGTTGACGTGTCCCTTGATATTCTCCATCTCCCCAAGCATGGCTGACACCAATGACGATTTGCCTGAGCCCACAGCTCCCACCACGGCCACCAGGCTCCCAGGTGCAATGTCCAGGGTCACACTGCAAACACATGAGGGCTGAGGAAGCAGCACTGCCAGGTTGCCCACAGCTCCTGAGTGGGACCAGCACAGAGTGGAGTGTCTCTAGGACACTCGTGTCTAGCACCACTGTTAGAAGTGATTGCCTTCCCAAATTAACAACCCAGAAAGGCTCCTGCTCCCCAGCCATCTGCCCCCAATATGGTGCAGAGCACTTACTCTCTTATCGCAGGACTGCTGTCCTGCTCCCAGGAAAAGGTGGCCTCCGAGAAACGCACAGCGCTGCCTGTCAGCAGAGAGGGCCCTCAGGACTGGGAAAACCCAGGGCTGGGACAGCCTGTGACCCACGGGGAGTAATCTGGGGGTTCACCTGCCTGGAATGGTGTTGTGGTAGATAGCTGAGGTGTCCAGGTTTTCTCCACTCAGGTAGCGCTCCAGCCTTGCAGTCGACACATTGGCCTGCCATGGTAGAAAAAGGATGAGGATGGCACATGGGCATGGGGTGCAGCTGGGTGGGCTGGCAGGAGCCCCATAAGCAGAGCATCACATCACACAGTCCCCATCCAACCTCTGAGCCCCAAACCTGTGTTATGCATGTAAGTCCTGTCCCACCCCCCTGCCAGCAGAGTCCTGTGCACTAACCCCTGGGTGTCCATCACACACCTGAGTCCCATGTTCTGGTTTGGGCAGAGGTATCATAGGATCCCTCTGCACCCCCTGCCCTAAGAGAGGGCTGACCTGCACTACTGAAGAGAGGACCATGGGCAGCATGGCCATGGGGAAACGCAGGACGTTGAAAAGGGAGATAGCAGTAAAGGCCTTCTGTGCATCCAGGATGTTGTTCTCATCCACTAGCACATAGACAGCAAAACTGGCCAAGGAGACCTGGGAGAGATAGCAGGGAAAAACACCATCAGTGTGGTTGTGTGTCCAGACCCCCATGTTACCCTTAGACCTCAGCAGTGCTTTTCTGCTGGGGACCCCTCCTGCTACCCCCTTCTCCTTTGGGCCCCATCTCACCACCTCGATGGGACTCCCTTCCACCACAGCTCTCCTGCCAGCAGCCGGGATCATACTCTGCATCCCAGGCAGAGGAAGGGATGCCAGCCCCCTTCATTGCTGCAGGAGCACTCCATATGAGGTTCCCAATAATTCCCATCCCCTTGGGATGGGAAAGCCCCAGCTCAGAGGAAGGTGCAGCCCTCCCCTGGGCTGTTGTCACTCACCAGGAAGGGGGCACACGTGAACACAAAGACAGAGACAGACTGCAGGTAACTGAAGTTCAGCAAGTTCTTCAGCTCATGTGCCCGTATGCCATTAATTCGCTTTTCAAATGAGGGCTCCCAGGCAAAAAGCTTCAGGATCTGCAGGATGAGCAGGGTGAGCAGATGCTGGTTTCACAGGAAAGCCCACCCCCACACTCAGCTCACTGGTGGCCAGCACCTCCATCACCAGCTCCTGAGGCCTGTTTGGCCATTGCATCTTCCCTCTCCTGTCCTACCCCATGGCTTATAGCATTCCCCCACTTCCACACTGCCACTCCCTCAGTTTCAGCTTACAGGTCACTGCCAGCCCCTCTGCCACTATGGCAGTGGGCTCACTACCAAGAAACACCCAGAAGACCCTCTCTTGGCTCCCAGGTCTTGGTCCAGGAACCCAGAGCGCCTCCCCACCCAACTTTTCAAGAGGTGAGGAAGCCAAGGGAATTGCAGAGACTGTGGTTTGGACATCCCAGACACAGGGGCCCCAAGCTGGACTATAACACTGGTGCTGTAGAGTTACACAGGTACTCTCCAGGTACAGTGCATCAAGAAGAGGGGTGCAGCACCTGCCTGGGGAGTCTCCAGTTCACTGCTCACCTTGATTCCATTGAGGATTTCAGTCATTATTTTCATCCGTTCATCCTTGTTCTTCATGTTTCTCACCTATAAACAGAAGAACCACATGTTATCAAACCCATACAGCAGCTCACCCTTGGAAACACATCTGGGCTGCCACAGGAAAGGGAAGGACAGGCTCCTGAACCCAGAAAAGTCATCCCACCAAGCTGGACCTTGGCTTCCCTATGTCTCTGGACAACCTGGGTTAAAACAACACCCTGCTGTGAGGTAGAAGCCAGAGCTTTAGCTTATGGTTGGTAATATCTCATTTTCAGTCCTCAAGGCTGCCCCTAATCTTGTTCAAGTTCAACTGTGATGGTAAAACAGACCTGTCTCCTGCTCATAGCAACAGATCACCCCTGGCCCAAGTGATATCAACTTCCCAGGCTGGGAAAGATCCATAGCATAAAAGAAAAGGGTAGGGGAGTGCGGAAAATGAGGGAAGAAAGCAACAGTGGGCCTCAGGGGTGGGAGACCAGGAAGGATCTTGCACCCACCTGAATGGTTTTGGCCTTGGCAACCAGGAGCGCGTTTATAGGGATCAGTAGTACCATGACTGCAAGGCCAGCCAAGACAGAGGGGCCCAGCTCTCCCCAGAGGAAGACAATGGACAGGATAATTTGCAGGGGACATGACCACAGCTGGTGAATAAAGTTGGCCAAGTCCATGAACCTCTGGGCATCAGCTGACATCAGATTCACAGTCTCTCCCACTGTGGACTCCTTGCGGGTGGCACCGGACATGGTGAGTGACTGGAAAGAGAAAACATAGTCACCCCAAGTCAGTCTGGGAGCAGCCTAGCTCCCAGAGCAGGCAGTTAGCAGGCCAGACTGAAACTGCTCCTGGGTCTGCTCCTGGCACCTCTCTGCTGGCCACAGGCACTCTCCTCACTGCCTGCGTACCAGGAGCCACTGGATGCTGGATAAAAAGAAACACATCCTCGTGCAGGAATCCTCGTGCCAATTGCCCTAGGTGTTGCACTGCTCTGAAAAGAAATCTGCCTCAGCCCCTGGTAGCTCTCAAACACGTGGCTGCAGCACCCAGGTCCCAAGCAGAACTAAGACCCACAGTGTCCCCAGTGCTGGGTGGGCATCCCACAAGCCAAGCTTTTCCTGTGCCTTCCTAAGAAGTAAAGTGCATACAGCCCAGTCACCCCAGGTTGCTGGGGCAGGCAATGAATTATTATATCCACAGCCCAGCTCAGAGGAAGCCAACAGGGACGATGACAGGACCATACAAACCTTCTTGTAAATGGCAGCGATGAGGCTGGCACGCACATTTATGCCGAGCTGAAAGCATAAGCTGAAGTGCTGCTGCAGGCAGAGGGACTGGATCACTGCCGTCAGGAAGAGCAGGATGGCGTATAAATAGCCTTGCCAGGCAAAGGAATCCTCATTCGACACAAAGGCAATCAGCAGCCTGCAGGGTAAAGAAGCCCATGAGACCCTCACTCTACTGGGACAGACCCGAGCAGGACACTCCACATGAATGCAGGGAGAGCATCCTCATGAGAGTGGTGACTGAGACCCTGCCCTAGAGAGCTGGCTCAATGCTCAGCAAGCTGGGGACCCTTGATCTGCTGGACATCCCTGTTCTGCCAAGGACACTGCGTTTCACACACAGCAGTGGATCAGTCATGTCGGATCATCCACAGAGACTGTGCTGCTCTGCAAAATGAACTGGAGAGGCCCTGCTGGGCTGAGCCTGACTGACTCATGAAGGGCCCCTGGAGAAGAGCCAGGACTGTCTCCAGGGAGGGAGTAACAGGGGATGCAAGGAGCAAGGAGGAAGCTATTACCCATAAAAGCTGGCAGCCAGCTCAGATCAATTCTTCATTAAACTATAACCCAACATATTCTCCCACCTTTGGTGAACGCATAAAATGTCCTGAGGGTCTGGGGCTGGGAGAGGTAGACATATAGAGATGGTGGGCCTGGATGCAGTGCACAGAGGGAGGTGGTGGGGCTGGGTGCAAAGTCAGAACAGAATATGGACAGGGACAGAGAGAGAAGACTCACTTGAGCAGCTGGGGGCTGACAAACACAAGTGCATCATGCACCACCTTGAATGCCACTGCTAGCATGAGGTTCCGCCGGTAGGTCTTGCCCAGGGTTTTCATCAACCAACCCCTGGCGTAATCCCCGTGAGGGCCAGAGTCCCCTTCGTCTCCCTTCTTCTTCTTCTTCTTCGGCTGCTTCTCCTCCTGGAGGGAAGCCCACATAGAAGTGAAGCAGTTGGTTGTGCAGGCTTCCTGCACCTGGAAGGATGCTTCCAGAGTAGCATCACAGACACAGACCCTAGATCAGGTGTCCTGAATAAAGTCTTTGCTTTACCTCCTGTCACCTTCTCTCTCACTGATCTCTGCTCATGTCATACATACCCAGGACTAACACATCTCTTACATGCCAAAGACAACTGTTGCAAAAACCAAACCACCCTGAATCTCTCAGGCCAAAAATCAGGCACCCCAGGAAGAACCTGAGGCCAGGGATGATCATAGAGTGATGTTCAGTCTGACTTCTTTGCTGGGAGGTATTTGGGGTAGGGAAAGATAGAAATAAGGAAGCTGCTTGTACTGCAGACTTGAGGGTGGTTCCTGTCCTTCTCTCCTGTCCTCTACAGGGCAGAAGGATGTAGACTTTCTTGGTCTTTCAAAACACAGGAATCTGCCAAGGACAGGGAACACCCTGTCATGGATTCCCCCATCCTTGTCCATGGCCCTGTAGAACTAAAGAGCGGCTGCAGGGAGATAGGGTGATCCTGCTCCCTGAGGCTGGACCTGGATGTCTCAGTCTCATACAAGACAAAGAGTAGAAATGGATTTACCAGCACCAGGATGTCTTGGCTCTGGGCCTTGGTCATGTTTCCATGGTCCAGGTCAACTTTCTGTCGTCTTTTCTTGTGTTTCCGTTTCTCCAGTTCTGCTTGGGCCTTCTGCAAGGCAGTCTTCATGTTCTTCTCAAAAGCAGTGGAAAGTGCCTGTGTCCTGTCTTTATCTTTCAATTCCCAGATATCCTCTATCTCCAAAGGCTTGCGATAGCCCTTGAGAACAATGCTGTGGGGCAGAGAAATCTCTCAGCAAGTTTCTTACATGACACTTGTTGCAGAATCCCTGCTGAAAATGCAAGGACTTCATACCCAGCCTGGCACTGGGCTCAGGTTGCACAGACTGAACTCAGTGTGGTGCCTCTCATTACTAACTCCAAGCAGCCTGTGCTGCAGGCTACCCCAAAGAGCGCTGGGCCAGCCCTGAAGCACTCTTGTATTTTTCCAGCCCAGCCTCCCATGGAGCCCTGCTCACCTGCTGTACCATTCGAAGGTGATGGAGCTCAGGAAGGAGGCTGTCACCTCTGGGTTCTATGGTACAAAGCAAAGTAGGTACCAAGAGATCATTGATGTTGAAAGGTGGTGTTGACTAGAGTTGATTCAGCACCCCCAGTCATTAAAGAGCCCCAGAAGTTTCCAACTGTGCCAGATCCCACCCCAGGAACCCCATCTCATAGCCAGCAGCAGCCTCCCTTGGATACAGATGCAGATGTCCCAGGCTGCAGGCTGCAGCTCTTGCTGTGCCATTTGTTGATGCCCTCAGGTCTTTCCTCCCTGAGGGGCCTGGAGCATGGAGCTCCAGGTTCCAGAGCCTACATGGAGCTTGCCCTGCCCAACACAATGCATGGGATGTGGTGCCCCAAGCCCACTCCCACATGGTCCTCTCACCTTCTTCCTCATTTCCTTTGTTTCTGGGGCAACATCTGAGAAACCTGAGACAAGGAAGAGGAGCAGCTGGAGCCCATAGGAGATGAAGAAGAGGATAAACCGTGGCAGGTCAGAGATTGGTTCCTGCAGGGATGGAAAGCCCAGGGTTATTGTTGGGGATTGTCTCAAGGACAAGATCCGTCCCCAGGAAAGTGAACATGGCTGAGCACAATGGGGCAGTACAAAACTCGCTATGCAGCCTGGATCAGCTTCCTTTTGCCACTTCTCCCTGACCTCCTCCCCTAAGTGTGTAAGCAGAGAAATTGGTCCTGGATACCTTATACCTCCCCAAAGAGATAGGACGAATTCAAAAAACAATTCCTTCTCAGGTATTTTCTAGTTCTGGAAGGTTGCCAGGGCAGTTGGGATCTCTGTGATACCACAGAGAGCTTGTCAAGAGACAAGTATGAAGGACTTTCCTTGGGGACAGAACACGACCATAGGAAAGCACAGAGCTTCCTGTGAAATCCAACCTGCAGGGCTCTCCGGACAAGTGACTGGAACGGCAGTATCCCACAGAGCAGGGACAGTACCCAGAAGCAGAAAAGTACACCCGAGTCTCTGCGCAAGCAGAAGCGTCGTGCCTCGTGGATCAGCAGGACCAGGAGCTGGGGGAAGGAAGACCAGTCAGAGGTTCAGGTAGGGTTGCAGGACTAAGTCTGGACTGTAAAAGTGCCTTTGAAGCATGTGTCCTGGGGTGCCAGCACTCGTGAAATGCTGAGATTCACTGCCTTGAACACACTGAGCTCCCAGTGCCTGAGCTCACTGCCAACTCTACATAAGCTTCAGAGTTAATTGCATATGGCAAAGGTTTATTTCAGGAAGATATAAGATCAGGTCTGAAGGTACCCTGACATTACAGCAGGGCACTATTTCTCTTTTTAGCTCTTCCCACTCCAGATTCTCAGACATGCCCAGCTGTCAGGGGTCACACCCTCTCTCCTGCATATTGCCTCCAGAACTGGAAACTAAACCCATGTCACGTGCCAGCAGTGCAAATTCCCCTCTATAGGCCCTTGCCTTATCATGCCACATGGACTCTGCATGTGAAATGAAATGACAAGACAAAATATGAAGGATAGCAAATGGGGGTGTTACTTTTAAGTGCAAAAGTAACATTTCCTGAGCATTTTGGCTTTGTTAAGACTGTTAGAATACGCCATGTCTCACACAAGATATCTGTAACTTCTGTGCACATATTCCATCCAGCTAATAGCCCCCACGTCCTCAGCTTTCTCCTCTGCCTGGCCATCCCATGGTACTTCTCCTGACTCTCTGTAGAAAGGGAGCAGTAACCCATGGGAAGCTGTGAGACATGAGAGCAGCAAGCCATGGTCTGATGTGCACAATATGCAATCGGTTCTGTGAAACCCATAGTGCTGCTAACTAGGCTTGTATCAGAGACAGCTCAGCTACATAGGCATAGAACCTATCCCAGTTTTAAGGATAAAAGCAGGGAACACTGTACAACCAGACACCTGTGCTCAATGAATTGCCCTTATGCCCCACTCACACATGTTCAGGGCTAGTCCCTGTCCAATTTCCAGGCTACACTTCCCTCGGGGACACAGCTTCCTACTGATCTCTCTGCCAGGGAAGTTTTCTGCTGCTTGGCCCGCGGTCTCGCACGGTGTCTCCTTGGTGACACACAGCACATTTACCAGCTGATCCCTTACCCAGGTGGCGATGTACAGGCTGGGGTTGGTGTACTTGACAGCTGGCACGGTGTTCTGCTCCGTGTCCTCTACAAACGCCAGGGCCAACTCTGCCACTGCCGTCAGCACCAGCAAAGCAGCCAGGATCTGTGAGGAGAGGGGGGCAGCCTTGAGGGGAGACCCAGCCCACTGAGGAAACTGGGAACCACTGGAAGACAACACAGTTCGGCACAAAAGCACTGCGTTCCATGCACCATTACACGTTTTTCAACCCAAACTTGCCCTGGGAGAGCTTTCATCGCCGTGAAGCTGCTACAGTTCCACATTAGCACTGCCACCATTTTAAGTTTGGAGGATAACAGACCACAAGAGAGGCCTCAGTATATACTCTGCCCTCCCTCCCAGTGCATTCTAACCCTGTTGTCCCCTCTGTCCCAGATATGTGCATCATCTTAGACTCCTGTCTAAGATGTCTGTCCCAGATGGTGCCCTATCCCACTACTCCTTCTCTCCTACATTTATCATCTCTCCATCCCATACCTGACTGCAGCACAGAGGCTTTCCACTCACACCACCTCCATTCCAGGCTGCCCCAGCCTGTCATCTGTGCCCCCTCAGCCCCACTCTACCTGTTTGATGATGTAGAGTTTGGTCACAGATGATTTCTTGGCTCTGGATTTGCACATGGGCAAGAGCTGCCATGGAGCCAAAATCCAGAAGAAGCCAAGGGGGACCCAGACCAGCACAGTCTGCTGGAAGCACACAGGCAGGTCGGCATCTGGGCGAGCAAGGTAAGAATCATTCTGGGGGCAGCAAGAACAGAAAACAAAGTTACTTGGGATGGATTGACTCTCACCTGGCTCACAGCACAAGAGCCAGCACTCCTTTAGGTCCTGCCCCCCACCACTGTACCCCTCCTGACACCCACCCTCCTGGCTGAGCATTTCAGCACTCAGCCAAAGTCTGACGTGATATCCCTCTCCCCATCTATCTGCCTGAACCTGGGATGGGCTCCCTTGCTGGAGCCAAGTCAGCTGAAGCAGCCAGACCCAAATCATTCCCCAAGAGGTCTATGCAAGGTGTACTGTGTTTCCAGCTGGGCCAAAACAGGCCAAGGCTAACTTAGGGAGCTGTCATTGCCTCAATGTCCTGTGAATACCACGCAGGCATCGCATAGCTCTCAGTACTGTGGCAGTCCTGGATAAATATCAGAATCTCTGCCAACTGCTGGCCGTTGGGTTCCACTGGCAGGACAAGGTGTGAGCCTTGGGATCTGCTGCTCTCCCTGTCCACTGAGTGTCCTACCCCGAGAACAGGCAATAGGGATGATGCCGCCACTCACCCAGAAGACAGAGCCGCAGAACTCCTCCAGGGCCGCTGACATGGCTCAGGGGAGAAGAGACGGCAGCTCCTTTCCCTTGGCAGCTCCTTCCCCTTGCTCTGCCTGAGTCCTGGGTGGATGCTTGGGATAAAAGTCCCCCCACGCCCTCAGGTAGCGCTGGGACAAAATCCCTGATGACACGCAGTTATTTATTAACTTGGTGCTATTGCACAACACCACAAACCAAAGCTGTGACCAAAAGGGCTTGGGAAACCACATGGGCTCAGGGGAAGGGAGGAGAGGAAGACGCAAAAAAGAGATCAAAGGGGAGATACAGGGACGCCAGAGAGTCACCGCAGGACACCATAGCCACCGTTCAGAAACCACCAGAAGCCTTCATCAGTGTACACCAACAGAGACAAGCTCATATAGACCCACTAAAGACACTGTTTTTTTGCAACAGATCTCTCCTGCCAGAACAAGCCTGCAGAATGGTGACAAAAAGTCCAGCAAGAGTTGGTCCCACAGAAGCCAAAGGAGACAGTACCCTTTTTTTTCCATGTGCCACCAGCAGTGCCCCAGGCCTGAGAAATTTGCAGCATCTGGCAGCTGAGTTGACCACATGCTGCACTGGTCTTTCCAAGTACCCAGGATCTGGGCTACTTTTACCAACTTCTTGCCTGCATAGCCTGGAGGCTTTTTGAGCTATTCCTTCTGCTTCTCCCTTTCCCACATTTCCACGTTGTCTGCGTGTTATGGCAGCTGCCTGGCCACAAAACCCCAAAGAGACTTTGAATCTTCATTCTAAGTAAACCCCTATCGTTGGAGACAGAGCAACATTCCCAAAGATAGTGACTGCCATTAAATCATCACCCTGCTGCTTAGAAAAGTGGAATTATGATAGGGACACGTGGGGGTGGTGCTACTCTTAAGGATTTTCTTTATCATGTGTGCTCTTGAGGAACGGTAGGTAAAAGGGGACAGTAGAGTGACTGTAAGGGTCATGTTGTCTCATTGTTCACGAATTCATTGAGTTAGTAGATAACTCAGAAGTCAAGGGTGACACAATGAGTAATTGCTAAGGAACCACCAATACCAGCTGGACATTGAGCCTTTGCTCAATGTCCAACTCCTTGGTTAATTATTACTGGTTTCTCTGATTAAATCCACATGTTTTTGTAAATAAAACTACCCCTATTGGTAGGTCCTCCAGGCTAGAATCAGTACACTGCTGATGAGAGCTGTAATCTGATGTGATAGGTAAGAAATAAGTGAATGAAGCAGTCACTTCCTCAATCCTTCTCCATCCAGACTGATGATATGATTCTTTTCTGCCCACTGGCACAGGTGTCCTGTGGCTTTGTTCAAACCCACCTGAAGCATTGATGCCAAGGGGACCACCTGCTGGTGACACCTTCCTCTGTAATGCTCTGTCCATTGCTTGTCAGTTTTCAGTACAGGTCACAGCCCATTCCCACCTCATCTTTAGCCTCAGTCAGAGCTGAAGTGTTTCCCTCAGCACAGGATGCCAGCTCTCCTTAATGTTCAAAGCAAGTGCACCCTCACTTTCTCTACCCTCATACCTGGGACATGCTCCTCCTAAAAACCCACAAAGCCACCTCACTGTCCTTCAGCTCCTTCCATAAAGCTTCCTTCACTAAAATACCGAAAAAATCTTTGCTGGGACCAAGATAACCAAAGCAGTAGCACCTCTCCGGCTGACAATATCACACAGTTTCCCTGTATTCCCCTGCCTTCATCCATCTGTTGTCCAGCATGTTGTAACTTTTCAAAAACTAGGCATTGCTTCATGCCAATCCAGGACAGAGGTTTCTGCCATGCAATCTACAAATCAGTCCAGCCCTCACTACTCACCTCTTCTCTGAAGGATCTGTTTCTCTGCTTTGTCACACTGTAATGCCATTTGAGTTCAGACGTCTTTTTTTTTTCTTTAAACTTTAAACACATAGGAAAGAGTCAAACTCTGTGTCAGCAGAATATTCATCTTAATTGAGCTACTGGTATCTTAATAACGACCATGACTCATGAAATCTCACAACATAAGTCATGAACTCTTAGATCAGATTCTGAACTACATTGACTATAACCACAAATTTAATCATTTCTTCTTCCAAATTTTGATCCTTCCTACTGCTTGCACATCTGTCAGTGCTGAAAACAGCTCTGACACCAGGACTAGGCAGTCATTCCCTTCTCAGCTCCTCTGTTAAGAACTACCATTTACATTTCCAAGGTGTGTCTTGGGAGAGAGCGATACTACTGTTGGATCCACGTGAACAGTCGGATGTACCCTTTGAGCTGGAAATACAATGATTATTGGCCTTCAAGGACCTGATTCTTTTTAAGGGACAAAAGTGCTGCCACCTTCTCAAATACCACATTTTTGCTGTATATCCTCACAGGCTGTAAGCTTTTGCCAAGATAGGCAGAGAAATCTGAATCCTGCTTTTGCTTCCTAAGAACATCCCTTATCTCTGCTGTCAGAGGGATTCTCTTCAGCTTTGTGATCTTTTACAGAAGAGGAGGCAGCAAGGATAAAGTTGCTTTAACTCTGGGTCTCTACTCTTTTAATGGACCACTCTGATGCCATTCAGATCTTTGGTTGGGTATTTTGCAGGGTAACTGATACGAGTCTGGGGCTTCAATCCTGACTAGGCAGCAATGACCCAAAAGGCACGTTCCCTGTCTGGTGAACAAGCAGCTTGTGCTTCACGTTGGGAAAAGGACACAGAAGTTCCCTTAGAAAAAGCACTTGGTCCTCCCAAGGAGTCTCATCATATGCACACCCCACCTCAAGCACTGAGGGCCCACAGCCCAGGATGCCTCACAGCCCCCTCACCTCATCAGTCAGGTAGTGAGAAGCTCCCCGCCACTAGAAATTAGTGTTCATTACCCATACATATCAATGTGCTTCTCTCTACCCAGCAGCTGCTGCATTGCTAATCCTACTGGCTGACTACAGCAGGCCTTGTTTTACAGCTGTGGCTATCATGTTTCCCTCCCTGGCATTCTGGATGTGATTGTATTCTCATCTGGTGCAGCACGGGCCTGATTTTTCAGGCTACGCGACATGGAGTACAGTCTTACCTAAAAACATAAATAAATTATTAGAAAACCACAGCAAGAGGGGGCAGCTGCAGTGTTTATTTGACAATCACATGCAGTGCTACACAGTTCAGTCCCCCTACTTGTTCAGCTCTCTTCCTCCCAAATACTGCCCAACAGCTTGTTGCTGCAACATCTGGGAATGAGTCCTTTTATTTAAAATGGTCAACATCAGTTTCCAGGCCAGGGACTGGTCTTTCAGGGGAAGCCAAGGGAAGAGGTGTCAGGCTTCATCACCTAGTGCATGTCCTCTGCAGCCTGAGAACGGAAGCAGTACCCAACTGTCCATGTGGCAGGGAAGACCTTGGAGTCTCAGTGTCCTTGTCCCAGCACGGTGCCTTCCACTACAGAATGTTCTTTGCAATTGCGTTCAGGGTCCTCACTTTGGCCACATCTGCCACCTTTATGGAGTACTCAGGGGCAGAGAAGGACGCTCCCATGGCAACGTTCGGATTTCTGTTAGGAAAACCAATGGATACTATCTGTTGGTGATACAGATGGGTAAGAGAGAACACAAGAGAAAACCAAGAAAAAGCCTATGTCCCCTCATCTCAGAAGTGTCCAGAGAAACCTGCAGGTGCCACCCAAACCAAAGATGGGACAGTAACAGAAAGAATAATAATCCAAAGGTAAGAGACAACAGCATCAGCAGAAACCCAGTGCAGACCTGCAAATGAAACCCATTCCTTGCTCATTCCTCTGAGGCACATCCCACTGGCTTCCCAAATTCTACATGCTGGTGTTAAAAGTATAGGCAACTACATCCCAGAACCTGCCTTCCCAAGTGCCACACAAGTACACTCACAACTCCCAGGCCAGCAGAGAAATGCTCCAAGGATCTGGTTCTGCATGGAGCTCATGTCCAGATGAGGAGCACTATTGGATTCATACACTGCAGAATACCGTGTCAGGCACCTCTCACAATTTCAACCACAAGAGAGCAACAGCACCCAGGAAGTTGTCTGAAATTTATGCCTGTTCTACAAACTTATGTTCATACTCATCTAGCCTTTCCCTTTGTACAGTTCTGCTAAAATATAATCATAAATAATTAGTCACCTGAACTTCATCCCTGAGTCCCGGGCTGAGCGAGCAGAGCAGTGAAATTCAGAAGCAGTGGAGCCTTCCAGAATCCTCTGCAGGTTGCGCTCCGTGATGCCACCTCCTGGTGGGAACAAGCCCGATGTCAGACACCAAGGAGATGACACTGTCCCAGACCTGACATCACCCTGGGACCTACCCCTAAGGGACAAGCACCATATACACTGAAGGGAAAATACAGCCCTTGGGACAACAGAGACCCGGGCACACGAAAAGAGACAGGAGAAGGCTTGACTCATGTTCTCCCACAGAACCAGAGCTGTCCCCAGTTCCTGCAGTGAGCAGCAGCTGCAGAGCTCTAGGTGGCCTTTACTCACACCAGGGTAGGAGCTGCTCCTCCTGGGCACCTGGCTCAAAAAGCCAGATCAGAGTGGATCCCAAGGCAGGAGGTGAGGAAGGAAGGGCTAAGGATTGAGGACCTGGTACAAGATGACAAAAAACCATTACCTGGCACCACCACAATTCTGCCCTTTGCCTGAAAGAAGAATAACATGTTAGTGATATTGCTCAGCACTACATCCACATGTGCATTTGTGGGGTGGCAAAGAAACCTCACAGGCAGCACTTTCCATAAACACATGGATGTCACTGTGGCCTACAATTCATTCACTCTCACTCATCCTTTTTGTTCTATTCATGTTTTACAAGGAAACATGAAAAAGAATTGGCAGTTACAGCTAAAACCACCTGTCCCCATTCCCTCCTACCTCTGTATCCCACCTGGCTACCCGTTGCATTTCCCTAACAGGAACCGTGAGACACCCAGCAGGAACCTCACTTTGCTGTTTGCATGGGCTCATCACACCAGCTATTGAAACCAACTCCCACCACCCTCCCCACTGTCTGTGAGCAAGAATGACCCAACCAGTCTTTGCTGTGGGAGACTTTAGGGCCCAGCCTATGTGGACTTTGGAAAACAGATTAAAGCCAAGCAAGGGAGGAAAGGCAAGTGCTCCCTGACACAAGTCCCCTTACAGAAATGAGGGCTACCACAAAGTG